GGAAGAGCCACAGTTGATAGTGATGTCTTCGACCGGAGTGTAGATAGGTGCAGAGAGTAGGGTGACAATTTGCAGAAACAGGGGAAGGAGGTAGAGAGGCAGAGGAGGGAGAAGGAGTTTCTTCATGGTTATTGTTTTGGAAAGGTTCTTGATAATAGCAAGAGCAGTAAAAGATCAAAGGGTAATTAAGATGATGATTTAGGGGATGGTTATTGGTTTGTAAAGGTGTTTTCTTCTTTTGTAAAGCTTTCTTTTGCTTTTTTTTTTTTTTTTATTTAAAAAAAAATATATGTAAATTATGTTCATCAACAACATAGAATAATTCAGGCATAAGCTTTCTATTGTTTTTTGTCCAAAAAATAAAAAGATTTCTATTGTTTCAGTGCTACCATATCTTCGTCATGTGTTGATGTGTCTGGTAGGTAGGCGTGTGGTTGTCGGTCTCCTTTTATCATTGAGATGCATGATATTTTCCAGTTACCCACAAAAAAGGAAAAGAGATGCATATTTTTGTGAGAAATTGCGTGGAAATGTAAAAGAAAGTTGTTTTTGTTTTCTTTTTTGATCAGCTGTGCTAGTCTTCTAGTTGTCGTTACATTATTGTTTGCATGCACAACTCGAGCACAAAGACTTGCTTTTTCTTTTTTCGTCAAACATCAAAGACTTGCTTTTGGGTATACTGATCCTGTAATAAAAAAAATTATCACATCCTTTTTCTTTTCCCTTTTAATCTTATCCGTCTTTCAATGGCTGACAACAACAAAAATATAGAAAATGACACCCATCGAACGCAATCTCCTGTCTAAAATGTTGGGCTCCCTTTCATTATGTATGGGGTTAAATGTTAATGCAAAGCCCAAGAGAATGAGTTTAAACTCGCAAATAATAACACAAGTCCTCGCAATTTGCCTTTGCGAACAGCAGCAGCTCCACCTCCACGTCCACCAACAACAACGCAGTTACGCAGCCCATCACATCTTCTTCTTCTTCTTCTTCTTCTTTACGATCCCAAAAAATTAAGTATACTGAGTATAAGATACGCATATGAATCTGATGAAATGTACGTGTACATAATGTACGATGAAAATCTTGAAAATAAATACAATTAGACAAATACAACATTATTCAAATGCAACCCAACCCGTTAATACATAACCCAACATTATATTACAAGAGTCAAACTTAATGATAAAGGAAACGAGAGAGAAGAATAGGTGAAAAATAAAATCAAACACACAAGAAACCGAGCAACCAGAGAAAGGAGAGGAAGAGCCAAAGATAGCCAAAATGACTGAGAAGAGAAGAAAGGATAAGCTACTAAGTATTAGAGCTTGGTTTTTGACATTGATTCAGTGGCTGGGATGTATGCTTACTTTCAAAATTGAAGACAAATTTATGGGTTATTTGTCTGGTATCGAGAAATATCGGTAAATATCTAGGATATCAGGGGTTATCCGGGATATATTGCCGATAAGGGGGAAGAAATAGGCTTACCCCCCTCTATCTGTATCAACACCTAAAAAAAGGGATATATCGGCCAATATTTTCTTCCTTGCTACTACTAACACTCTGTTTGCATCGAGGTGGGGAAGGAAGGGTAATCCATTGCCTGATGTATTTATTGCAGATGTAGTAATCACATTGAGCTTGCGCAGTAGAGAACTAGGTCATTACACGTCCCTACCACACATATCTCTTCTCTAACGAGTGGAAACTTGCGAGTCTTTTCAACACATGAGTTAGGGGTTTGGAGACGACGATGAAAATCCGTAAAAATTCCTCTCCTTTGAAGCTTATCACATTGGACACATAAAAAATGCTTAGAGAAATAAGGATCAGATATGAGAGTACACCAATAGGTAGCAATATTTACCAACCCTGCTTAAGTTTCCTTACAGAAGAACATTTAAAATTCACCAACTTTGGATCTATTTTGCTATGCCCCCAAGTCGTTCATTGCCTTCAAATTCATTGCAGCAGAGTAAAAATTGTTCTCGCATACACAAACTCTAACATCGAAAAAGTGAAACCAAAATTTACATGCAAACTAAAGTTTAAGGAATGACGGAACAAGAAGAACCAACACATTTTATTTTCATCTGGAAGGAATCAGGAAGGCATCAGTTCTTACCAAAAGACAAGTTAAACTTAAAAGAAGACCAAACTATTCGGGCAATCATATCCACATCCTAAATCCCAGAAACAAAAGAAACAAAAAACCAATATTTACAAGTTTATATCTCTCTTTATTAAATATTTTGGTGCAAAGTTCTAGACTCTAAACATACTTCTTCAAACTTCTATAAGACCTCAAGTCTCAATCTCTCGAGTAAACATTTTGCTGCATAAACACTACTAAGACCTCAAGTAACACCAACAACAAGCAATTTATTACAATTAGAAACTCCACCAAATTAACCAAAGCTATAAAATGTTCAAAACCAATACAAGCTTCATTTCATCATTGGATATGAGACTGCCCGAAAAACGCCTATTTACAATTTTTACACTAAGCAAACCAAGAGTATATATAGCTATATAAACATCTCACACAAATTCCTCAAACCTGACCTCTGAATCGCCTGGCTCGCCACGGGTAGCCCTTTCACACTTGCTCCTTTCATAATCAGGATCATCCGTGGGCAGCTCATAGCGGCAAACCGGGCATGTATTTCGAATGCCCAACCAGGGCACAATGCAGTCCTGATGGTAGTAATGGCAACAGGGTAAGCTCCTGACCTTATCCTCCGACGCAATGCTGTCTTTACAAACAGCACAGACCACTTCTTCATTCTTCAACTTCTCCTTTGTGAACTTAACAAAGGGAAGATCCTCGACAACACTTGAAGCCGCCGGAGGGCTACCTTTCATGGCATTCGCATTCTCCACGAATTGCCCGAAAATCGTGTTGATGTACTCTGCAGTCTCTAAGTCAACATCATCATCATCGGCATACCTCCGGAAATTGTTGACTGTCAAGAGAATTTCCCACTCCAGGCTTCGTGTGGCTCCTTCGGGAATCTCTTCTTCTTCTTCAGTAGAAAACCCAGAGGCCACTGAGAGCTCTTCAACTCCGCCATCGATCCGATTAGACTCAGAATTTTCAAACATGTTCCTCTGCTCCACCAAGAAAAGGTTGTCCCAGATTGATTGGATACCCGAATCGGTGATCCGATTACTTTCTATATCATCGATGGTACCGGAATCCGAATCAGATTCCGATTCCAACCCAACAACCCGAAGGCCACTAACGCGCGAATCATCCCCTGGTGGAATATTAAACTCGCCCAATTCAGAGACAGAGCCCTGAGAATTTGACTCTAGACCAAACCCTAACCCCAAATTTGACCCCATTTCATCTCCACCATCAACACCCCCAATTTCCGATTCAAGCGAAAGCGGGTCCGAACCCGAACCCGAACCCAGAACGGTAACGCAGTCGTTATTGGGCCTCTCCGAGGTGCGACGGTCGAAGAGATCGGTGACGAAGCAGCTGACGTCATGGTCCGAATCGGAGGCGGCGTCGGAGAAAGAGTCGCAATCGGAGCTTCGGGAATCGGGAGGATCGGCGAAGGGGTTGCAATTGTGGTTGGTGCACCAGTGGGCGAGGGGATCAAGAGTTAGGGTTTGTGGGTCTGGGTCGTTTGGTTGTGGTTCGCGGGGTAGGTGAGTGGTGGCGCAAAGCTCAGACATAGTTTTCAAGATTAATAATGGAAGAAATTGGAGAAATTTTGTTTGGTGGTGGTGCTTCAGTTTATATAGTGCGGGTTTTCTTCCCTCCTTTTTTATTTTATTTTATTTTATTTTACTTTGTCTTGCCCTGCTCTGTGAAGGAATAAAAGTTTAATCAAGAGAAATGAAGGTTACCAAATTTTGCATTCCTCTCACGATAACATGCTATTATTAATGCGTGCATTATTGGACAAATATACGAAAAAACAAATGTTGCAGGTGTCTTCTTCGAATTATTACACATAATCTGCACCCTCCTCGGTGGTTACATTCTCTAGTACTGGACATCATAAGTTTATCAAAATTTTAATGTTAATTTCATTCGACATATCTTTCATGAAAGTAATACGACGGTCGATGCTCTTGCTACTCATGGACATACGCTTCCTCATCTTTGTGTTTGGTTTAATCATGTTCCTCATTTTGTAGCTCTTCGGATACTGTATGATAATCGATCTCTTTGAATTCCTAGAGGATCCCCCTTTGAAATTCATTTTGTATTCCAAAAATAAAGAGGTTATCCTGACAGATTATCTCAGGAAAACTTCAAACTAGTACAATATTATCCTGATAAACTACGGGCGTCGGGCGGTCTCCCGATGCTTCTCTTTCAGCTCAAAGAATACGTCCTTGATTGCCTCAAATACCTCTTCAGGAGACCTTTCAGCATCAATCTAGGCCAAAATCAAAGAAGAAGAAAATAAACTACTTATGGGAAAATCAAATTTTTAGGTCAAATTAGCCAAGCTAAACAACATTTAGTCGTCTAATTGTGAAACACTCGAGGGCGCTCACGTATATATTTGTCGGTTTCAGTAAACTATAGGTAAAAGGCTTGAACTAAGACTAATATTATTCACTGGCAAAAGGCAAAGTAACCATTTCCCATGAAATGTTACAATCAGAAGCTTTGTGGAGAAGATCGTTACCTTTCGAACCTTGCCCTTGGCGCTGTAATAATTGATTACAGGAAGAGTGCATTCAAAGTAGACTTTAAGACGCTTCTGTATTGTGTTAATATTATCATCAACTCTTCCCTTTGGATCCACAGACAATATGCATGAAAAAGAGTTAGAGAAGTTAGACACGTTGAAAAATTTGTAAGTTAAAGAGGAAGAAAAAGGGCAATTTGCTCACCTGGTTTCTATTTAAAAGACGTATTTTCATCTCCTCTTCTGAGCAGTTAAGAAACAATACAAAATCTGGCTCAATTTTCATCTGTAGCAGAAGTTTTGATTGTGCACATGGAACAGACAGAACAATGAGATATGAATATGTTAAAATCAGTGAAAGAATAACTTATGCTATTTGCAAATAATTTTTACATTAAGCAATGTAATAAAACTATCAAAGAATTTGATAGCTAAAACAAACAAAACAGAAAACTGCAAACC